TATTTTCCTTCTTCCTTTTCTTCTCATGAATATGTTGATTTTCTATACTTTAATATGAAATTTATACTTTTCTTATGAAAATCATGAATAATTATTAAAGAAATATGGTTATGGTACCTAGGGAACTACCCTAGGATCTATGTTTTTAACATAAAAAATCCATTGCCTAGGCGACTAGGCACCCCCCAGTCGCCTAGCCTCACCTTGGCCTTGAAAACTATGATTTCCATAGAATGTGAATAATAAACGCCTGCCATGGTGTTAAACTTTGACATGCATTTCACAAATGAAATATTCAGTACACAACAAAGAAGAAAAATACTTTATTTTATCCCTTTCTTTTTGTGTTTTTCCCCCTTGTCTCTGTGTTTGTGTTTACTAGGCTATGACTTAGGCTGACCAGCCAAAACCCTGGCACTAGGTCAGCTTTGGGCTGCTTTCTTAGAACCTCAGTTTGCACTTAAACCTAAGAACCCCAACCAGATCTAAACTTGGGTATTGCTCAGGCTCAGGCTCAGGCTCAGGCCCTAGAGAACCAGAACCAACTCACCATATACTTTTCTGGAAATGTATTGACAACAACTTTGTTGTTTGGTTTAATGGCCAAAATGTCAAGTTGCCTTCACCAGCCAAAACAGTGGCACTAGGTCAGCTTTAGGGTGCTTTCTTAGAACCTCAGGTTGCAATTAAACCTAAGAACCCCAGCCAGATCTAAACTTGGGTATTGCACAGGCTCAGGCCCTAGAAAACCAGAACCAACTCACCATATAATTTTCTGGAAATGTATTGACAACAACTTTGTTGTTTGGTTTAATGGCCAAAATGTCAAGTTGTCTTCAACAGGACTTGGGTCCTCTTTCTTTCCTTTTTTTTTATAAATCTTGGGTCCTCTTTCTAGTCACTGTTTATGTGTAATTCTAGTCATAACATTGTATCTCAAGCTAAAATGGATCTAGCCAACCTAATCTGATTCAATTAAGTTAGTTCTTTGGATGGTAATTATGATCTCATTTAATGTCAGCTTGGGCTTGCAGTTGGATTTGGTTGGCCATTCACACTGAGGGTTTGGCTTCCATTTCTGCTAAACGCAATTCATCCTTCCCAACTTGCCATCTAGTTTTCTTCAAAAATTAGAGAAAATAATCAGTCCATTATCCATGGGACAGAGGATACTAATGTGGTGCAATCACATTTTGAAGCCAGGCACATGAATCTAATACCAAGTATGGGAATGGAATGACTAGAAATTACCACATGATATGGCAATCCTAACAATGTCAATAAGCTTAAATGAGGATTCATTAGCACTTACAGAGAGATCATGTTTCATCCTATGCACAACCTGAACAATGTCTGTTGTAACAATTTCTTTTGGGTTACACAGTCATAATTGTTGATGTGGCTAAATAAGATTAGTTCATTAGACTTTCAGCTCAAATATATTAGATACAAATGCTAATCTTGCTGGATTAGATACAAACAAGTAATGGAAGATTTAATTTTTTTTCTTTCTTTTGTAGGTTTTTTCCCTTTTTCTTTCTCTTTTTGATCAGGTCCGTATTCTTTTGCATCTGGTCAATAATGTAAACATCTCATCAAAAATAGGAAATAGCAGAGTCATGAAATCCAGCCCCAGGATCAAAAGGGGCAAGACCACAAGAGAGTGGGACTGGTAGTTTAGTTTAAATAAATATTTCTACGGTAAAAACTTGCGCAGTTAACAGTATTTCTATGAACCTCTTGCAATGAACATACTATATATTGCCATATCATGATAGCTTCTAAGAGAGTCTTTGAGGAACAATGCATACAGCAACCAACACCAGGGGTAGCAGATGAGTTTCTCATTGCTCCTTGTGGACATATTTCTAACTGCCTCCTCTTACAATAAATGTTACAACAACTCATCAAAACTTATGGTTCTAGCCAATGCTAACACTTTTAACTTGGCACAGAACTTGCTATAACATGGTAATGATGCTCCAATCCGAACCGAAGCCAATGAAAACAACTTAACAAGAACCATTGGCACAAAGCATGCTTAGAAAATTTGTCATTAAAAAAACATCAAAATGGTGTGTAGGGTAGACAGCAAGGAAAAAGAGCAAAATCAGAAGATTTTATATTACCAATACATAAAAGAGGAGTTCGACCTCTATTGGTTGAGTCCAACTTTTTATTTGTGCTTGAATTCTTTTACTTTGGTTCTATTTTAATTATGATCTCACTTTTTCCTTTCTCCATTTCTCTCTCTCATAATAGTTTTCATGATCAACCCAAAAACATTTTCTTCTCTCTTTTCTTTCTTTCATGATAGTTCCACGTGTCAAAACCGTGTTTGTAGCTTTTTTTTATAAGAAAAAAGGAAAAAGTGTACACAAAAGAGAAAAGGAATTGCCTCAATAAGAAAGCCACAACAGGAACCTCCAACCTCTTTCTATAATCCTACAGGAATTGCCTCAATACCTTCCACGGTTCCACAAATGCCCAAAATGACCCACAAAAACATTAAAAAACAAATAAACTATAATCCTACCATTCATAGTTACATGTAGGCACATAACACCATCACTACCATAAAATAATGAATAGTGATGCCTGTAATAGCTCTCATTTTTTGATAATTGAAATGTCATTTTATTAACAAGAAATGAGAGCTATTACAGGTATCTCAAGGAGAGGCACGGGGTGCAACGTGCAACCTCTCCTTAAAAGAAAATTACAGGATAAACAGTAGGGGATAGATTACAAAGCAGACCAGTAAAAATTTTCCCCATTAACCCCTTGTTTGGCAAGACTCAGCCAGAGCATTTGCCAACCTTCCCACCCAGTGTAAGCTAATATCCATGTTTCTAGTTAGCCACTTAGCTTTTTTTAAAAGATCCCTGTAGCACAAACCACCGAGTCCAAATCTGCCAGCCACCCCACAACAACTTTAGAGTCTCCTTCAAGTATTAGATTTTCCACACCAAGCTGATGGGTTCAATCAACATGTGTTGGTGTAATTGTCTTGAATCCTCAAAGATTTCAAAACCTAAGTCAAAGAAAAATGTCCAATCAACAAATTTTTGAAAAACTGGGCTAGGCACCCCTGTACTTTTTGAAATTTCTTTTCTTTCTTCTTTTTTCTCATGAATATGTTGATTTATCATGTTTTAATACGAAGTTTATACTTCTTTTATGAAGATTATAGATAACTACTAGTGAAATTGCTATGGAGCCTAGGGAGTTACTGTGAGATTCATGGTTTTTATTTAAAAGAAAATCCATCGCCTAGGTGCCCCTGTTGTCTAGCCTCGCCTTGGTGTCTTGAAAATCGTGCAAAGCCTTCTTTAGTTTTGTTTCTAGGCCTCTATCACCATCTTCAGCCAAAGCTGGAACTAAACATTCCTTCGTCATATCCAACTCCAAAGATTTTTCTTTGACTCTTTTTTTATGAATAAGATTTTTCTTTGACGTCACCAATAATACAAGAACCTGATGATGTCTTCCTCTTTAGCCTCTCTAAAATAATAACTCTAAACTCCTCTACAAGAATCCACATGGCCACACCAGCTTAATAAGACTCCAGTTGACATTTTTCCTATCAACATCAGTAAATCTACCAACATCACTAATTGACTTGACAACTCAAAAGGCAAAGCATGAAGGAGTACTCTGAATACAATATTCCAAACCAATTAACCAAATTTGAAAACTGATCATTTAATATATCCTGCTAGTGGTTTCCAACAATCAAATTCAAAATTCAGGAATTCAATTTTGTGAACATTCCCATTCAAGAACATCTACAGCATCTTCCTTTCTCTACAAACAAAATAGGAACAATCCTCCACCTAACAATTTAACATCAACAGGATAGCCCAGCTTCCAATCAAAACAGAAATGAACTCTTCATCTAGAGTTCCCCCTAAGAATTTTCCAACCAAACAGTGATCCAACAATTCTAACCTATGAATTTTTTATTGGTAGCTATTGAAAAGATTAATTAATTGCGAGAAGAAATGTATACAAACAAACATGTTACTTGCACGGTTGCACCTCATAGAAGATTAGGCCAGCCCCTGCTGCCTACCCCATAACCTTGTTACTTTACATACTTCCCCCTTATTTGTCATCCCACACATCAAGTATTTCCTCGTATCTTGAATTTCTTCAAAGACTGCATCATATGTTCCTTAACAATTTCCCAACAATCTTGAAAGAATCCCATGGAAAAACCATTAGGTCACAATACTTTACCTCTATCCATGGGAAAAGCTGCTCTTGAAGACTTCAAAAGAAGAACTCAAAATTTGTCTAATCAACACATATTGATTATTATTTTGTTCTTCTTCTTTCCTGCAACAAAAATAGAGGCTCAACCCTCTATTTTCTGAAATGTCTTATCTTTCTTGCATTTTTCATGAATATGTTGATTTTCTATGTTTTAAATGAAATTTATACATCTTTATGAAGATGTAGGGAATAATCCATCCAAGAATTCATGTTTTTTTGTTCAAAAAAAAACCATCACCTAGGTGTAGGCAATAAGGTGATCCCATGTCGCCTATCTCGCCTTGGCGCCTTGAAACTGTGGATGGCACTACTTTTCCTCTTGCATTTTCACAATCCCATTTAGGAAGAAACATTTATCTCGGTACTCTTGAACTTGCAAGAGTGTAGTCTTCCCATCTGTTCCAACGATTACATGAATCCACCTAACTTTTATTCTATCAGCATGTATACATAGTTTGTAGCAACACAGAGTCACTGAGAGAGAAGATTTAGGTGCAGCTCAATTATTCGAAAAGAATGTGATATTTGAGTTAGAAAGGATCAATGCTAACAGGGTTGCTTCTTCGGTGATGGAGAAAATTCCTAACACAGTAAAAAGATTCAGAAGACAGAAAACTAATCAAATAGTGCAAGTTTCTAAAATTTTTGCCAGATTAAAGATAGGAGTATTTGGGGTGGGGCCGAAGAAGAAGGGGAAGAAGATAAAGAAAGCCTTTGAGAAAGGAAGAGAGAGTTCTGCTTTAGACACTGAATGTACTGAGGAAATGGGCAAAGCTTGATGTTTGGTTCTAATTGGAATTGAGGTTTTGGGTTCAGGGCGTTTCATTGTTATAAGGTAGGGGCTGGGAGGGTTGGGTGGGATTGTTTATTTTTGTGAATTTTGGAAGGAGCTTCCTTGTGATCTTTGGTTTGGGCTCATAGCTCATTGTTTTGCTGTTGGGGTGGGGGCTTTCAGCTTGTCTCGCATGGTCCAAAATGTCCCTAATTTCCCTAATATTTCCACAACATATTTCCATTTCCATGGGTAGCAACATGAAATTTTACCAGAATCGACATACTCCCCAATGAACAGTACCAGCACTATGTGAAGTACAAGAGATAGTTTCCACGACATATTTCCATTTTCACTTCCATGGGTAGTGACATGAAATTTACTGGAATCAACATATTCCTCAATGAACATTATCAGCACTATGTGGAGTATAAGGGATAGTATTATAACATAAGTTGGTAACAATATTGTATATATGTGGAGTAACAACGTTATTGTTCGTCTAACTTGATTACCACTTTGAGCTAGCTCAATATTCATTTCAAACATGAAGTTAAATATTAGTTTTTGTTTGTGTAATAGATTATTTGGTTGATCCATTGCAGCCATTTACACTTTTTATGAGTTCAAATTTTGCTTTAACTCATTCTATCATGAAGCTCTGAATCTTAAGGAGGGCAACTTCAGAAAGTATTATTTTGTCTATAACCTTAGTTTCTTAGCTTTGTTTAATGATTTGGAACAAGATAATCTAAAAAGGTGTGCCTATTCTTTTATTTTTCATAAATTATCATTCTATATTTTACAATGTTTCCACTGTGTCTATAATTTTTACAATATTTCCGACATTTCTCACATGTGTCTTATATTTGGAGAGTCAACATTTCCACCAACACCAACATTAACCTTGGTCTCTCATGGTCATTAGGGTTGATTATCTAAGGGGTCAGGTTGAAAGTCTTGGTCTTTCCTTTGTTGGGTGATTTTTTATCACCCTGATGCATCTTCTTTAATTAGTTTCCTTATTAAATTTTCTTTTTTTATTTATCTTCAAAAAAAGTTCATTAAAAGGAAAGAATGCTCGCAAATGGCATTGAACATTGTTTTTGGGGTGGGGGGGTGCATTAGAGGGTGCCCTGGGAAGCTTAGGTGTAGTCATACCAATTTAAAGTCTTGTTCTAAAGGATCCCAAGGCCCATCAATTACAATAGATATGATTTATCTGTATTTTTTACCATTCCCATGCATCTTTTCAACCCCCCCCCAAACTTTTGGTTATCAACATGCTCATTTTGCTTCAGTTTCCATTTCTTCTCTATTCTTCACCTTCTTTGACAATTAGTATTGGTTTTGTATTAAACAGCGCCTTTTTGGGGACCTTTAGTCCTGTTCTTATGCTATTCACATGAAGCAAATTATGCTGATAATACACTTTATCATCAATATCAAGGTAAAGAAGCCAAGGCCCAAGCAACACAAAATACCTGTCAGGACCAAACCGCACAAGACAGGAGGAGGCATCATCTCTCCTACAATATTTGCAACCTTTAGCAACCCGGCAAGGTAAGTCAATTGTGTCTGCTAACACCTGTAAAGTGTACCAAAAATGCAAGTGAACCTCCTCAGACTTGACAAAATGGTTTCAATCCTATGTGTTTCTTATATAAATCGAACAAGATAAAATGTCTGCAAACGAACATCTAAATGGAGGCATAATGGCAGAAGTCTTTATAGCAGCAAAAGATCAAAGAAGATGCAAACAGATCAGGTCATATTCAAATCAGGATATATCCGAATCCGATCTGACACTGTTCATGTCTGATCTGATCCGGTCAGATCTGATAAGCCTTGATTTGAATTCAAATCCTATCGGTAAGTCGGATCTTCAGATCTGATCCGACCCGACTTGTTTTCTTTAAAAATTAATAAATTATTAAAAGAAAATAAAAATATACCAATTTAAATAAAGAAAGAACACAGAACACAAGTATTTTTTTAATTATTTTCTTCATATATATACATATTTTTATAAAAAATAAATAATATAACAAATTTATAAAAATACAATATAAATAATATATTTATAAATAAATATATAACATATACATATGTATTATATATATTTATAAATATACAACATATATTGGATCGGATCTTCTCAAATCGGATAGGGGTGATCCAAATTCGACCAAATATGAGCGGATCGGATCATGACCCGATCCATTTGCACCCCTAGTTAGCTAGGACGAAGGCACAACCCTCCCCCCTCCCCACACACACCAAAAAATTGAACATATCAAAGATTTGAAAATACAGCCACCATGAACTTTAAAATGTCAAATATAAGATAAGAAATTTACTTTGAACAGAAGAGCACGATGTCTGCAAAGGCCAAATGATAGACTTCCCAGTGGAAACACAACAGAACCTAAACAATCCTTTAAAACCTCACTGCAGTCCTTCCAGTTTGAAAGGAAACCATCTTCTCCTGTAGAAGCTGCACCCCTTGTGACAGCGACAAAAAGCTTGGTTACCAGAATTATAGCATGATTAAATGAATTCTGGACACTTGTAGGTATAGCAATGTAAACTACTCACCCCATGTGATGGCAGACAAGCCTTGCAAGCTGATCAACCATTTCCTTTTTAGTAATGCAGCTACAGGAAAGGTTCTGTACCCTACTTTGTAGCTCTCTCAAACCAGGATCACCGCGTTTATCAATTAAAATCACTTCAATTGATGAACCATCACAAGAATCAACACCCTTGAGTGATTCAATAGATGGGATCCGACCAGTCTCTTGGAGATCAGAGCAAACTGTCCATACATAAGGATCCATTCCATGAATCACATAAAATCCATCCGGAATCTTGTCAAAGTAAGATAAGCAACCATTCACCTGGAGCAAGCGAAATAAAATGGACAGATAAAATCAGATTTTAATTTGCACCTCATAAGAGTGACTGGTCAAAAAAAAAAGAAAAAGAATAGTATATAAGATATCAGTCTGTTGGTCAAAAACCAAAACTACCTCTTCTTTCTGATATAAGTGAAGGTGATGAATCAATTATTCAGTGAAGTAAAACGTATCTTAAAGATCGAATCTCATTATTGATACTGGTATACTTATAACAATAATAACGACTGGGAATAGATAGCAAGTTAGGTAATTTAGGCAATTGTTATGAAACCCTGAAAGCTATTTGAATTATAATGTACAACCTTACACTCATGGCCTAATTCAGTGTTTATTTCAGATAACATTTCAGTGTAGCAAACAGAAAAGAGGGCAAAATAAATAAACTTTCTGGATTCCATCGTTTCAGTCATGAATTTTCTAAATGAATTAAAGTCGAGGAAGTCGAGGAATGAACATTAAAATTTACTTTATCAAGAGGGAACAATCAAACCCTAGAGGCCAATTACCACGAAGCTTAAAGCAAACCAGACAAAAAACATGGAAAACTCAAATATGTATAAATAAAAGTAAAAGCGTACCCAGAATCGATGAGACATAGCCTCTGCCGAGGAAGAAGAAGACCTGAGAGCGGATTCATCAGGGACGGGATCCAAGAAATTGGGATCATCAGCACAAGTGGCTTCTGATGAAAGCCGAAGCGCCAACGCCAGCTGCAACTGATAACTCTCCTCAGTCTGCTGAGCCCAGCTCTTGGACGAAGAAGATCCTCCCGCTTCCACCACTTTCAGCCTCGACTCTCCACCACCAACCTTAAATCCATCTTCCTGCAATTGACCGAAAACTTCCTGATCATTCGCTACCACAGATAGCGGCTGGTTGTAATAATCCCCCGACAACGAGCTCTCCCCAAAACTACTCCCACTCGACTGCCTCTGCAATCCGATCGACGGAAACATACTCCCGATCCGTCCTCCCCCTTGCTGCAGTCGATGATCTCCATCCCAATCGAACCCCCTCTCCGTCTTCCCTTTGTTCTTCTCCGCAGACAAAGACTCGTAGAACGTCACTGGCGCTGCACCTGCACTACCACCCGCCACAGAGAACTTGGATGGCTGCTGCAGCTGTGCTTGCTGTTCTTCAGGATATTGACTCAGCAGAGTGTAATTGGATCGCCTCCCGGGCATTTCCATAGATAGAACTCAAATATCTCTACAAAACCCTAAAAGCCGCCATCGTTCCAGAGTCAATTGAAGGTCTGATGCTCTTTCTCTCTCTCCCTCTCTCCCTCTCTCTCTCTCTGTCGGGGAGAGAGAGAAAAAAAAAAAAAAGACCAAATGAGAAGAGAGTGGATTCGGTTGTTTCGGCGTCCGCCGCTCCGCGTCTGAACGTCTTGAAATTGAAACCCACACGCACACACGCATGTGAAACGAAATACTCCGCTCACAACCTGCACGGCTGCTTTCTTCTTTTGTCCTTCTCTCCCTCGCTCGCTAGTCGCTCCTCTATAATGTCCATTGCGAGGGCAGATCTTCTCCATACACTTCGCACCTCACACTGCGACCTCACAGCATGTTTGGCCGCACATCGGAAACATCTCCCGTCCATAAGTGGGATGTGACTGTGAAATCGGTGTGAGGCGCGTTAAATGAGAGCAGATCCCAACTCGTCAATTGGTCTCTACACGGTCCAGTACATTCCTTTACGAGCAGCTTAAAATGAGAACTTTATACACGTGGCCTAGTATCACGTGAAAAGTGAAGAATCTGTTCGACGTTAACCCAATCCGAGCCTGGAGCCAAGCTGTCACGTGCTATTTATTATCTGCGTCCCCTTACCTACACGAGGCGTGTAGGAAATGCGTCCCTTATATTTGGGATAATATACTCAGTTATATTTTAATGACACGGATGACGTAGTCGAATCCAGACGAAAACGAAACGTATCGGTAACAGATTAACAGTCAGAGACTCGGAGGCACGGCCGTGCGGGAAACAGAAACAGTGTTCAGAATTCCCGGCTCCGGCTGTAATATTAAAATGAGGGGGGATTATTAACTATTTATTACTAAATAAATATTAATAACGGGGGAGTCTTGAGAAAAATAAACAAAGAAAAGCTAGCTTTGGACTTTCTCCAAGCCTAATTATTTTTTTATTTTGGAAGTATTATAAGAAAAATCGGAACCCCCTTCAGTTCGCTATTATTTATTTGTAATTATGATTTGCATTTCTAATTAATGCAAATTTTGTATTTTTTCTATTTTTCCTTTATTGGGAGTGAGAACATTTCATCCAAGGAACGGATGCAAAATTTATCTTCCTCATGGGAATTGCATCATCTTGCATCTTACTTCACTCTAATAACATCCATCTTACCTCCATTCTCTTTCATTGAAAGTGGAGGTTATTTCATTTTATTTCTCACATACAAATGTGACAAAATCAATTTAAACGCAAAAATAAAAAACCAAAATGTATAGTCATCATTTTTGCAACCAAATGCAGCCTATTAAGGGTGATTCTTTCGTGCTTTTCTTGTYCAATGAGCTGATCTATCCTATTTTGTAGATTCATAAGTGGTTGTTTATATGCATGCTCCCTGATTTTTTTCAATGGAGTTAGGCATTGATCAATTCAGGTTTGCATATTCTTTTATTATTCCTAAGGCTTTAATGTGGAGGATAATGATTCTATTTTTATAAACGGGATCGTAAGGCTATTAGGGGAAGATCCCAAAATAGACCTTTCCCTATTAGAAAAATTGATATTTATCTTTATGTCAGTTATCAAGCAAACTTCACTAAGGTTTGGTCATGTGTCTAACGAGACTTTCTAGAGATAGAGTTTCGTTTCTCTAAAGATTATCATATAGCGCATGTCAATTGTCAGCTACACCCCTTCACGGGTTTTCTCGCAGCCACATGTCAGGACTTTCGATTGGTTGACGTATTAGAATGTCTCTATAAGACATCTTTGAAGCGTTTTGTCGTGGCTTTCCATGATTGTGCGGAGCACGAGTTGCCTGTGAACATATATTGCTGGCTTTGGCTTTGTTTATTGTTCATCATGGCGTGAGTTGCTATTTTATGCTTATTGCAAGATGATGATAGTGTATTGAGTTTATCACAGAGTTGCAATATCATTATATACCCATCACTGGTCTCGGATGGCGCATTGTGCTCATTGCATGATACTGTCACCATGCTAGGTTTGTTTTGGATATGTGATGTTATCTTGCATCCATTACCAATCTCCGGTGACATTCATTGTTCATCACATGTCTTTGGGTGACCCTCTATATTCATCACAAATCCTATAAGGCATTTTGTGCCCATTGCAAGTCTTATGTGGCCCGGTGTGCTCATTGCAAGTGTATGAGCCTTTCATCGTTTTGATGAAGTGTTCATGTAGCATTGCATAGGTGTCCCGGTCTGGATTCCTCCATATGGTTTTTCTTTAATGCCCTCGTCATAATCCGGGTGATGGTAAATTACATGTACTTACAAATAAGAAAATAAATTGTACATCTAGTAGATTTTCTAGGTGTTTTCTAACTTCAAAAATAAACCTAAATAATTGAGAAATATGTGGTTGAACATGTAGGACCTAGCCATCTGTAGGATAGTTTCCACATTATTTCTAGTGCAACTAAACATTATGCAAATTTCAGGAATTTATTTATTTGTCATACATTTTATAAGCAATTAAAATTTAAAGGGAACCTAGATTTTAGGGGAAATTCTAATTTGTAAGGCTTTGTGGACCAAAAAAAATTAGGTTGAATATATGATTAATGGCCCATATTTGAAGGGAAAATATGAGATAATTGAATTTGGTTTATTCAACGAATATATGAATAATGGCCTATATTTTCGGATCACTATTCATTCTATAGTGTATAAAAAGACCTTGGCCTCTCATTCCATGGGAGCTGATGTCATAATGGGACCTAGGGTCATAATACATAAAGTGGCATGTGTGTCAATACAAGGGGTTGTGTGATACTGTGATCACAATTCATTATTGCATCATATAGAATGAACAGTGTTCCTATATGCTAGAATTTATATAATTCATTTCAAGGTAAATCTATGATGTGGGAAAGGTATGATAAAGAGAATTGACCAATCAAAACCCTCGTATGAACTTTGATTAACACCTTACCACTTCTATGATCCTAGTTGATTCTTACAAGTTTTTTTTTTACTATCGTAATCAAACCCTTCATTTTATATACACTTTCCTCTTAAAGTTTTAGAATTTTAAGCATGGCTACTGCAAAAGAGGTACCATGGTGGTGCTAGTAGGGTGGAGAGAGGAGGAAATTTTATCATGTAAAGGATCTTTTCTTAAGGCCATGTTCATTTACAAATTCATCACTTACTCAAAGTAAGTGCATTACCCACGTAAATGTTTCGTGTGTAACACTTACCTGAATAAGTTCACTCACTCATGTTCTTTTGGTTTCCAATTAAGTAATATAATAATATTTTTACTTATAAAAAGTTAATGTGAAAAGGACAAATTTATTCCATCATATTTATAAACTTTTCCCTTGTGCATGAAACTAACTTACCTGCATGGGAGATGGGTATTTATCTAGATAAATGAAGCTATCTTTATCGTGAGGCCCCTTTAATGCAAAAATAACATYGTAAAATTGATCAATGAGAAAATTACTTATCCACCGGAGAGATGTTTATTTACCCAAATAGATGAAGTTATCTTTACCGTGGGGCCCCATTTAATGCAAAAAGAACACTATAAAATTAATCAATGAGAAAGAGATACCCATCAACCAACTTCCCCCTCTTATTTACGGGTAAATGAATGAGCCCAAATAACAATTTCAACTTACTAGAATCAACTACTCAGCTTAATTCATAGACCGGAAGCACTCTAGAATGTAAGGATCACATGCACCACCCTCTTTCCGTCATGATTTATACCTCTGAATATGCAAAGATCGTGTGCTCAGAATTTTCAACAATCGATACTCTTAAGAAAAAAAGGGATTTTTAGACTGCACTCTACCTCAGAATAGTTTGATTATTCTCAAATGGATATTAATGTTTAAACCATATAAAAACCCCTAACTTTCAACATTTAGCATCTAGATGACCCAAAGAACTGCTATCTATGATACAGCACAATATGCATTGATATTTTGAACCATGCTTGTGCTTTTCATGTGGCAAATTTTAATAGAAAAAAAAAAATCCATATCAGAAAGAAAGAGTTCTTCATAAATTTTAGAAGCCCTTGTTTTCAATAAAATTAGTGGTTGTTGTTAAGAAAAAGCAAGGGATCCCTGTTCAAAAGATGTAAGAAAGTAACAACACGTCATGTCCTATTCAGCGAAGGAAATAACTATCATATCTGAAATCTGTATCAGATCCAGGCATGTTAGGCGAGATCACATCTCCGCCCCACAAGGAGCCACCCCACAATGCCCTACAGCACATCCCCGCCGTGTATTAGAAACATCTCCTGCTATCCCAATACACGGCGGGGATGTGCTGTGGGGCGGCTCCTTATGGGGCAGAGATGTGAACTCATGTTAGGCGATGTTTGGTAATTTGGCAATGTCGGAAATTTTCTAGTGTTTCAGCCTCCATCACCGTGAGCAAAAAATAGTTGACTTGTAACTTTTCCAACATCCAAAATTTGGTTCCATAAATGCTACCAAATGCAGTGGGAGCTAAAGAGGAGGGCCAATTCATTCAGTCCCCTATTTATCTTTTTTGTCAAAAAAAAAAAGAAATATTGAATGCAATTACTCTTTTTTATTCCACTCCCATGATAAGTGTCATGGGGAAGAAGCTCGTCTACAGCCCAGGCCATTGACCCCAACATCCAAAGTTTTTTTCTGTTCCTAGTAGTGCAATACAAGTTTAATCACCCTAAACAACGGTATGCCCTTTGAAGAAAGGGCTTTAGCTTTGTAGCTTTTGACTTTTGCTTTATAAGGCAGGCCCCACTTGGATGGTTTATAAACAATGTTTTGGTAAAAATTCCGGAAAGGCCAAAATAACAAATTTTCATTGAAGTTTCTCCTAATGGCTTCTCCAAGGTAATTCGAGAATTGTTTGTTTATAAAGAGGTTGTTTATCCAAGTAAGTGCATTTATCTATATTTCTTTTTGTTAAATTTACCCAATAAATGAGATCTCTCAACTTTTTTATGTTCTTTTGCCTCACTCACTTTTCTGGGTAAGTGGTTAATTTTTCTATGTTTTATCATTTTTGCCCTTGGGTACAAGTCCATACTTTTTAGATTATATTGTTTAATGGGTATTTTTGACATATTATATTTTAAGCATTTACTATCCATTTGGGAAAATTAACTTTGTCAAATAGGAGAATGATAACATTTCCTTGAGTAAGTGATATCCAAG